AAGAAGGCCCAGATCGCTGCTCGGGTCAGGCTGGGTATCGGTCAGCGGGTGCTGAGCAATTGTACTGGGCATCACTTGGATTTATTGTTTTCCTTTTCCCCTTTTAGTTTTATATTCTCTCCCCTTGTTATTTCCCTTATTAGTGGTAATAGTAGTTTTGTATTATGCCTGAGTTACTGGACTGTTCATATCTCAACCCATGGGATTTACACTCTTTTGATTCTCCTCCCCATTGCTCTGTGAGCAGGGTTGATAGAAGGTGGGGAGTGAGTGAGCAGCTGCGTGGCTCTGAGTTACCATCTGGACTTAAACCTCAGCAAGCGCCTTTAGTCACTGGGAGCTGCTCTAAGGTGTCCCCTTCAGGAGCCTTCTCTTCTCCAGCTGCCCCAGCCCAGCTCTCTCAGCCTGGCTCCAGAGCAGAGCTGCTCCGGCCCTTGCAGCAGCTCCATGGCTTCCTCTGGACTTACTAAAGCGGAGCCTGGATTATCACTTTCAAACTTTCCCTCACTATTGCGAGCCCGGTAACTGGGTTTTAACACCCCTAAGTTATCTATCTGTGCCTTGTTCTGGACCCTTAATCCTGTGTGATGTTTGAAGACTGCCCTTGGTTGTCACTACCTTAAAATCTCCATTCCAAGCAGGCATACTTGTGATTCACCTCAAATTGAAGGTTTAAGAGATCCAGTAACTCTGTGTATTACAGTGCTCTGGTTTCAGCAGTTGTTTGTAGGCTGAGTTGTTTTCACTGTTATCTTTTTCTTGCAGAAATGCAAATGGCTTTTTCTTCAAAGAAACAATGTGTCAGCAGAAGAACAGACCTAGAGTTCAACAAAGATCCTGATTTTAACTTCAGCTCCAACATTCCAGCAGATGGTGTCTTCAAAGCGACAAGCCAAGGGTAAATGGAAGTAAAATATTGATGGATTTAGTACTTGGCAAATGTCCTAAAGCTGGCTTAGCATTTTGCAGAGTTTGTCAAACTAACAGGCTTGGTAACATGCAAGGATGCAGTGGCCTTCTGGTAATTGTATTTTACCCATCTTTTAAGGTTGCCTAAATCTGCCAAGAAAGGGGAGCCGCTTTTGAAGAAGCCAGCTACAAGAGGGTATGTTTCTTGATAGTCCTCTCATGCAGTAATGCTCCCTTTTGGTCAGAAACATGAGCGAACGCTTCAGAAAAGGGCATTTTTGTGGAAGTAAAAGATGAAGTGTGTCCTACTGATAACTTTGCCCCTGAATCTTTGATGTTTGACTTTACAGACCTCTTAACAGATACAAACTAGAAGCAGAGTTGAAGACCAAGAATCAGACGCTGGAAACAGCCAAGCAACATCTACATTCCAAATTAACAGAAGCACAGGTAAGGAAAGGGGAAAATAAATAAATCACTGAGGAAGTCTTACATTCTGATCTCTGCAGGGTCAGATCAAAGCATTGCCTTGCTCCTTTTCCTGTTTCCGTCAGAAGTCAGCAGAATTTGGGTGGGTTTTCTCATCTAACACCCATGGTATCTGCTAGAACCTTTAAATCAGAATTGCTGCAGATGTGTTTGGATGGACAGTGCATCCACATCAATGTTAAATAGTCATCAGAGCTCTAATCCCATTTTAAACTCAATTGTGGGTGAATATTTCAAGTTCATAACTATATGCTTGCCTGAAGTTGTATTAAAACAGCAACGGTATTGCCAGATGCTTCTTACTTACACCAACAGAAAGTGTAAATAATCACTTGCCACTGATGGTTTGAGGTCTATTAGTTCTCTTTCTTCTGTAGCTCCTAACATATGGTAGATAAACTATTCAATTTCCTTGTTCCTTTTGCCCGCTGTCTCCCAGCTTTGTTAACCTACCACATAGTGTAGTATGAGAGTCCATATGGTATTGAAGATGTGGGATTAGGGACTGTAGTGGTAGGACAAGGGGTAATGGCTTTAAACTGAAACAGGGGAAGTTTAGATTAGATATAAGGAAGAATTTCTTCACAGTGAGGGTGGTGAGGCACTGGAATGGGTTGCCCAAGGAAGTTGTGAGTGCTCCAACCCTGGTGGTGTTCAAGGCCAGACTGGACAGAGCCTTGGGCAACATAGTTTAGTGTGTGGTGTCCCTACTCAGGGCAGGGGAGTTGGAACTAGATGATCTTAAGGTCCTTTCCAACCCAAACTATTCTATAATCATTCTCATCTCACAGCTTGATTTCTTTAAGAGCCTTTGAGACCTCCTATGAAATGTTCCAAAAGCTTCTGACACCATCAGCTGGATCAACCTAATCCATATGCTTATTGATTCTCTTGGAGAATTGCATTCCACTTGTGAGGTTGATCAGCTCAATCTATTGCCTAGTAATAGCTGAATTGTGTAAGGACTAATGCTGGGGCTTAAAGAGTCTAAGGGGCCCTTTTGTTCCCAATGTTGATGTGCTCTTCAGTGCACCAAATGCCTGAATTATTTATAGGTATGAGAAGGAGCATGAGAACAGCTATGCTAGGGTTGCCTAAAAGGAATTTGTCTCTAGGATCCAATTTTTCTAGTAATTATGATGACGTGGACATGACAAATGTATTAATCCTGTCAAGAAGCAGGAGTAAGGATCTGCAAGAGTCTAATTTGTTGTGGTGGTTGCGACAAAGGGCAAGATCTGAGCCTTGGTGCTAGTGGCGTTCCTGCTGGTGTCACACTCGGTGTTACTAATGAGAAGACAATCTCCTTGGAAACATGATTCACTTACAACCTGTGTTAATGACAGTGCACCATAAAGGGCTTAAAGGAGGAGAATGAAGGCCTGGTACAAGAAGTTGAGAAGTTCAAGAAACTTCAGGAGACTTGCATGGTGATTTTAGAAAGCAGAAACATTGATCCTGGTAAGGACCATGCGCTTCATGTGCCATTCTGGTACTCGTGCTTCAGAACACATTTGTTTTTCCCCTGTTGTGACAGTTCATGAGACATTTGGACTCTGCTTCCTCATTAAGGGAATACTGTTGTAACTCCAGGGGATTTTTGGTTTTGCCTCCTAGCTTAAGAGGAAAAGCTGCTTCCTGGAGTAGGCAACATCCTGGATAAACCTTGAAAGTCATTTAGTCTTTCTTGCTGTAGAAAGCTCCTTTGCAAAGCTGTTAGTTCTTGAAGGCAAAGTTACCTGTGTGTTAGAGGGTCACTAATGCATCTCATACGTTAGTTACAGGCAGCACCATTTTGGAGGAGGAAGAAAAGACACAGGAATACCAGAGGCAGACAGCGGTAAGAAACTTTTGCAGTAGCGCTAGGAGTGAAATGGGCTTTGAGGGGTCTGTGTGCTGCTGCCTTAGTGGGAACAGCTGCTGAGAGCACTGTTTGTGTGCATTGTATTAAGCAATTTTCCTTTTGGCTTTTCAGCTGTTAACAGAGAAGCTCATAGAAGAATTGAGGCTGTTTAATCAAATGGCTGCAAAAGAAAATGAGATACTTCAGGTAAGATGGTGACTTTGTTTGACTTGACCAGGTAACAAGCACCTGGAACTGAGTGAGATCCTGAGGGGTGTTTCGTTCCTCCTGATCCCTCTCTAGTCTCCAAACAACCAAGGCTGAAAGCCTGCAGTATTCAGCTTCTGGTATAAATACACACATGTTGAGAAGCTGTATATGTTACTCCCCTTCCAAATAGAGGGCTTAAAGCTAAGTTTATGGTGGGGCAATGTTAATTCTCATCCAAGTCACTTCAAGTTGAACCATCTACGATTGAACTTGAAACAAGTTAGAAGGTGAAAGTGATGATTGAACTTGAAACAAGTTAGAAGGTGAAAGTGATACTAATGACTGAGACCTTTCAAATTAGATCCAGTCTGAAGTGATGGATGTCAATACTGGGAAGGAGCTCACTCTGCTTAGACCAGCTCCTCTTGAGAGAAGAGGTTTGTGAGGCTGTTTCAGGTGCTTGTAAGCACCCAGCAGAGTGCTGATCCCTCAGTCTAGTTGTTACATGGGAATTCAGGAGATTTGAACTAACTTGGAACCTGTTGCAGACCAGAGACTTCAGGCAGGTTCCCTGGGAACTAAGAGGTACGTGAGCACAAGCAGCTTCAGAAGTATTGTCTATATACAGACCAAAATAGACACTAAATTGCAGTTCTACAAGTCCTAGTAGGACACTGAAGAGCTAATCAGTGAAACCATTATTATACAAGACTTCCTTAACTTCAATCAGAGATAAACTGCCACTTTCCTCTATGAATCGAGGTAAAAGACATCCCAGTCAAAGTGGACTAATCCCAGTTTAGTGGCTAAGACCCCTCTGAGGAGTTCAAATGCTTTAGCTGGAGCTGCTTTACAACGTGGCTTTGCTGTTCAGTACTCTGTACACCAACTCTTCTACAGATGGCGATGGTGAAGTGGAAAGCAGCAGAAGAGGAGAGGCGCTGCTCCCTGGAGCAGCATTCCTTCTTCCAAGCATCCATGAAGGAGTGTTCAGGGGTACTTGACAAGCTGGAGCTGCTCCTGGCTATGTGAGGAGTGAGAATGGACTGTACTGTCTGGTTTTGCCGTTTTACTCCTAGTTCAGTGGGCTCTTCTTGTCAGACCTGTCTCACATGGTGGGGAGATCTGATGCACCTCCCCTGCTCCGGTGGCCCCCACTGGGTGCTCTTCACTGCTCCACTCGCTGGTGAGCGGTTCCTCTGTTCTGGGCTCTCGGCGTGTTGTGTCTATTTGTGTTTTTAATCCATTAAATACTAGAAGGTTGCTAACAGGCGCTTTCCTTTCCCGGAGGCAGCACTGCCCGCGGGGCCCCACCGGAGCGCCGGGGCGGGC